GGACGATGACGATATTATGTTAATATATAATATAAAATGTTTAATATTAAATGTTTTATTGTTGACGCATTTAATTTCACTAGAGGCGAAAACAGAATTCTTTTCAGTTTATTTATATTTTCAATTCTCAGTACAAAACCTTAATCATTTACTTTCGTTTTGCATCGCGCGAAACAAATTGTACAGCGTTTGCTTTTGGTTTTGTTTCTGGATCGAAACTTTTCTCGAGTTTTGTTTTTCGTGCCATTCCTGGTTTCAGTTCGAATCGGCGAACAGTTTATAGAAATAAAAAATGTATTTGCAAAGGACCCCGCATTAATCTTATGTAAAATGGATCCCAGTCGAATTGGCTGAAATTTTATTATAATGTAGATCATGATGTTCTGATCGAAAGTCCTCATGGGCACAAGGTTCAAAAATGTACAGTTTTCGAGATATTGGACTTCAAATATTGGAAATATGGCTAAATTCCAACATTTGATTTCCAATATCTCGAAAATTGTCCATTTTGGACTTTGTGCTCATGAGGACTTTTGATCAGCACATTATGATTTACATTATAGTAAAATTTCAGCTAATTCGACTGGGATCCATTTTACATAAGATTAGTGCGAGGTTCTTTACGTATAAATATTATCACTGACGTTTATTTCGACTAAAAATAAAATTTATTTCTCTTATTTAAATAATTCTGAAAAAAAACTGATTCATCTGTTAACAAATAGTGTATGCTATTACAGATAGATTTACAGTTGGTCAGAACATGGCCCGGGTATACTCTAAGGGAAATATTACAGCCAATATGACACAGATGATCTTATCATGGTACAATGAAGTAAATGATTTTAATAATACTAAAGTTGAGAAGTATGAGTAAGTATCCTTCTAAATTGAATTTTCTAATTATACACAGAGATTTAACATATTAGCAAATATAAATTAATTTTTTATAGCACTAAGTAAAGATATATCTATATATAAGTACTTTAAAGGCCGGTTGTTCCACCTTTTGATAAATTTTACCTGTGAGGTAAATCTGGTAATCCGCGTATGTGATTGGGTAATCTTGCTACTTATATATATCCAACAGGTAAAATTTACCAAAAGGTAGAACAACCGGGCCTAATATGTGTAAAGATATCTAAATATAAAAAAATAGCAGTAAATGGTGTTATGATGGTATTCATGGATGTATCGTGAATTTTTTTCGGAAGGGGGGGGGGTTCTATCAACCCAGGGATGTACCATGTGCCAACTGGAATGAGAATAAAAAAAAAGGAGGGGATTTTACTATTGTACTGAAAAGAACGTCACTGTACCAATTTTATTGTTGTGATATTTACAATAATTTTTAACGTTAATAAATTTTTTTAGTCGAATTTAGTCCAATGAAATACTTTGGGTGCATTTAGTATTACAGTTAGTATTTGAACAGTTCAGTATTCAGTGAGCTTTTGCATTTGGTATATTCTGTTACATCCAAAAATATAGATCGGATAGGTGTATAGGTAAAAAATATAGATCAAATAGTGCAAAAGCTTACTGAGTGCTCACAGTGAGCGATTGTAATACTGAATGTATCAATTATAGAATATATTTTGTTTTTCGCGGGATTAAAACCTTATGAAAATTTTTACATTATGTGTCGCATATTTTATCAAAACTCGAACTAACAGAAGTATTAAAAATGACTTCTATGGTCTTTAACCAGAAGAAGAAAAGAATATTGTAGGTATGTAATAGCAAAAAATTCACGTGTGTGAAGTTGGCACCTGATCTTTTGATAGCACCGCAAGTTTTGATACGAATTCCATTGGCACCTGCAATAGTTCTATAGTTCTTGATAGGTTTTATAAATAGTTTAAAAAACTCACACAAAGACAAAAGTAAAGTTATATGTTTTTTATAATTAAAAATTAAAGAGAGGAATTCTACAGAGTATGTTGTACATAGCTAACTGACCAATTCAAAATAAAATATTCTCATTAGTAAAGCAATGAAAAATTATTAGGCACTAACCGATGTGAATGAATGTGCTATCAGATGTGCGCTAACGAGACCCTCTTAAGGGGATGCTAAACCGATTACCCAACTCAATCAAGGTCGATAGCACAGACTCTTTTAATTCCAAATTCGATAATAGTGGTGACATCTTTGATTTAGTTTTTACATTATATTATATAATATATATCATTCTGTCTTACTCAAACGCATACGTCTGTTCTTATCTAACATATGCCAGCATCATCTATCGCAAGACCGCGCAACTACTGCTACGCGGAATTTCGGCTCTGTTGACAGTCCCAGTCTTCGCAAAGCATCAGTATACACGTATTTTCTATTCGGTGGAAATATTGCTTTTCTAGACTTTCGATCTTAGTTCTACAAACTCAGTATCGTTCGTTTCAATAATGTGACCTCAGCTGCACGCTTATTTTCAAGATATGGACTCTAAAACTCTTATATCAAGCAAATACATATCTGAGGTGACAGCTGTACGAGCCAAAAGTAAGTGAATTTTTAATTTTTTTTCGATTTTCTCATAAAATCCAGTGCAGCTGAGGTCCTGTTGATGCGTACTATAATTTAAGTAATAATACTTTTGCAATCCGTACATCCAATACAGAGATTTTTCACCGAATAGAAATGTGGTAAAACAGGGAACTTTAGCATCGCCTTAAAATGAAATAATTAATAAAAAATTTCGGGGGGGGGAGGGTTGAACGCCTAACTCCTTCCCCCTTTATACGTCCATGATGTTATTAATTAAAATCTTCTGAAGGTTAACATTTTTTTTAAAACATCTATAAAATAATTTATTTGCAGATTTGACTCAAAAATAGGCCACTATAGTCAACTGATCTGGAATGATACATCAAAAATTGGTTGTGGAATAATAGAATATAAGGACTCAGCGGGCTGGAATAATATAAAGCTAGGTTGCAATTACGGTTCACATGGAAATGTGATCGGTCAGAAAATATATAAAATTAAAAAATAAATCCAATTGACGGATTAAAGATGTAATAAAAGATAGCGATATATGAAAGAAAATAGGAAAGAAAATATATCCTTGGTCAATAGAAATAGATAATTGCAATTGTCATAATAATATTAATAGAGAGCAAAACTATATTTTTTTCTTTTTCTCCCCCTCTCTCTCTCTTTCTTTTTTCTTTTTCTTTCTTTTTAATACATATATTGTTTAACATTAAATCTACAGTTTTTTTTGTCATATATGACTTTCTGACGTAAGACAAAAAATAACAATGTATGAAATTTATTTAATGTATTTAAATGTAATGTATTTAAAAATAAATATATGCAATGAATAAAATATGAATTTTTTAATTCTTAAGATAGACTTCAATGTGTGTTTATGTACATACGTTTAAAGCAATGCTTCTTTACATTAGTTATATTATTCTATACTAAACAAAATAAAAATCGAAGAATATATATTTAATATTTTAGATCATAGTAATTATAATTACAAATAAGAGTATGTAATTATAATTTTTTAATACTTCTAATGCTACTCTTCGGACAGCATAAAGTTTATTAATGAAGTACAAAATAGGTTAATCAAGAATTATTGTATCTTCTACTGGCAATCCATCAGATAATTTAGTCATATTTTTATACAAAATTTTATAATAAAACTTACTAATTTTCAACCATATACAAATAATAGTTTTAAATTACCAATAAGATTTTAAATACATTATTTCTGTTAATCACAGCCTTGTCTCTTTTATCCTTTTGGATATGATTTCTTCATTCACGCACACAAACACATTTTTCTATAAAATTAATTTACAATTACAATTTTGGAAGAAAATGATATTTTTTAATTAAAAAATATGTCTCTAAAAAAATGAATTCACAAATGCTACATTAAATTGATTTTAAATTCTTTGCATTTAACAATAGAATAAACAAACTTCTGAAGCTTATACGAATTCATTTTTTTTCTATTGCTGCCGAGTTTGTTTTATAAGTACTAATAGAATTGCAAGCTCTCAGTAGTCTATTATTTAATCCGACCTATTATGTTAAATATATAGACAACGCACAATGGGCCAGACGTCCCGAAATCTTGGCCAAAATTCAAAATGTTCATGGATTGGTATAAAACTCTGTATCTAAGGGTTTTTGGGGTCGCTGATTTCGAATCTAAACTCAAAATTTAGAAATTCAAAATGGTGGATCCAAAATGGCGGACGAAAATGCTAAAAATGCTCCAATTGCTGTCAAATTTGGTACTTAGAGGCTTTTATGGTCGCTATTTTGAATCTAAACTCAAAATTTAGAAATTATAAATGGCGGAATAGAATGTTAAAAAAAAATGTCAAACCTTGACGAAAGATAGTGATACTATGATTTTCGAGGTCGTTGATTATAAATCTAATATCAAAATTACTGAAAAGAAAATGGCGGATTCAAAAAGCGGATTCGAATGTCAAAAGGTTTTAGTAGAAATCGGCATAAGAAAGTTTTCGAGGTCGCTTATTAGAGAGGTAGTAATAAATAACATCATCATAAATTATAATCTACATAAAACGATTATACTCTCTTTCTCTGTAGGGAGCGTAAAAGTTTTAGTGGTTATTTAGTGATACATAAGTGTATATATTGGAATAGTAAAAGTTATTAAAATTAGTACTATAAGTATTCTTAGCATACATTTAAATTAAATTATTTAATTTTAAATAATTTATATTTCTTTAAATAATCATTAATAACAATAGTAGGACTTATAACAGATTTGTACACAATAATTATTAACAATCATATAAAAATAATATCTTATGAAATTACAAAAAATAAAAATTAGTATATTTTAAATTATGTATATACATATATGTATATAAATATGTGTGTATTATTTACTTTATTATGCATTTATTATACAAATTATTTATTATAATAATTTACATCATTTTTTAAAAAATAATTTTACTTTTTAAACTAATTTACTTGACACTCAATATATATAGATGTATAAAAATGTCAGTTTTAAGTACGTTTAAGAAAAAAAATTGTTTTAAACATTTAAAAATTATGTGTGTGAGAGAGCATGGATATGTGCCAGGAGTAGGCGTCGCGCGTTGCGGTTTGACATTTTTTTAAACATTCTATTCTGCCATTTTGGATCCGCTATTTTGAATTTCTAAATTTTGACTTCAGATTTGAAATCAGCGACTTCAAAAACCCCTGAATATTCAATTTAACAACAATTGGAGCACTTTTAGTACTTTTGGTCACTTTTTCTGGTCTCCTGACCCGCTATTATTTCTTGGGATCAAAATAGGCAGCTGGTAGAAACACATATAAAAGTCAACCAACATAGAAGTACAATAGTATTTATAAAATCGTTTTCCGTAGTGAAACTTCGAAAAATTTTTTATTGATAGGATAGTTTAATATCAGAATACTACAAAAGAGCATGTTTTAAATCGTACTTATAAAAACAAATCGACCTTCCTTGCGGATTACGATTTAGAAATCATATTTCATGGACATTTTAATTATGAAATAACATTCAAAACATTGGAGAATAAATATATATTACACAAGGAATGTTACTTGTGTCAAAATGATCAATCGGCAATTGTAGTCAACTTTATAAATTAGAACGTATGTAGACAAAAAATTAATAATCTCATTATCCTAAAATTTTGCATAAATGTACATTTATTCCTTTAGATAACAATAATAACTTTTCTGAATCGAATGCTGCCAATGACTTTTGGTCACTTTTGGCCAGTTTTTGGGGTCTCCTGGTCCATTGTGCAATGTAGTGTTTGCAGCTTCTGACTTCTATCTTAAAAAAAACTTTTTTAGAAAAATTCAATTCTGTCCATTCTAGACTTTATTGTTAAGTTTGGAGATGAGGTTAAAATTTTTTTGTTTAAACTTAATTAAAGATATTTTACATATTTTCAAAATAATAACAAAATTCTGAAAAAATTACAGATTATTCTAAATCACGTTTAAAAATAATATGACAAAAAGTAGAGTTATATTTCGATGCATGAACTAGTTGTCTAGTAAACAAACAAAATATTTATTTATTCTTTGTAACTAATCAGTGAATTGCAATGATACTTTGCATAACTTATTTTGAAATTTAAAGTAACTTATAAAAAAAATGTAAATTTTTTTATCATTTTTGAAATTTTAATTTTTAACAATTTAAAAATAATAGCGAATAAAATAAATAAACTACAAAAATGTGTTATTAAACAAAAATATAATCTTATTCACACAACTTTCATATGTATATAGTTTTATTTGAAGTGTAAATATTAAATATACTTCCAAATTTAATTTTCTTTGCAGGGATTGTACGTCTAATATATCCTTAAGAGAGAAGACCATTTGATACTTAATTAATATCACAAATCGACATTCTTGAATCGTTTAATTTTTGCTCTCAACTCCCTATTATTCATAAAAAAGGGCATAATAATATTAAATAACTGATAATTTACCATACTGATTGATATTTTATTTTTATTAAATTCTAAAATCCACAACAAATTTTTCAACTTTATAATTAATATTTTATTAGATAATGGCTTTTTCTTTCTATTATTAAAGAGAAGATTATTATCAAAATTTTACTGTCTTAATAATCTCAATAGTAAATTTTCAAATATTTTCAATAACAAGAAATCAAGTTTATTTATTTTATTATAACTTACGTCGCTAAAATATGTTATCGAAATTTTAATTATATTTTATTTTTTTAATAACGTTTCTAACTTAAAATTAGTTTTTATTGAAATTAATAATTTAAACAGATACATCAAAGTATATAAAGAAACTTTACTCACTTTTTTTCACTTAAATGTCATCTATAAAATTAATTGTAAAAACTACATATAAAGCATTATACGTTGATAAAACGCAGAATACTAAAAAAAAAGAAAAAGAATTAATAAACAGAGGAATCATATGAGAAGAAACATAAACAACAGTCGTTATACACTGAAAAAAATGCATGTAATTTTACATGGAAATTACATGTTCATATGACCGGAAAATTACTTAAATTACATAAATGATTGGAAAGGACCCCGCACTAATCCTATATGAAATTGGATTTCGGTTAAATCAAATGGTTTTCTCATATGTTATAGCTTATGACCTACTGAACAAAACCTATAAGGTTTAGCGAAAAAAAATGAACAGTTTTCGTGTTTGATTCACCTAAAGTTGCTGACATTTCACCATAAAATGCTCAATAACTTCTAAACGACTGACCTAAAATGGATAAAATTATAGTGTTTTGAAAAGGTCTCAACAAGGACTATAAGAAAATGGAAAAAAAAGTGGGGGGTCTCATTTAAAAAATCCATGTGGACGTTGTCATGACCTTGGCGATGCCACCCAAAGTCAAACTGATGAAGCCAGTGGCTAGACCATTTTAAACTGTACAACTTTTATTTAATACATTTTTTTATAAAACTAATAGTTTTCGAGATATTTTACCGTCTCGGAACATTTTATGTTCCTTATATGATTATACCATGGGGCTACATATAATTATATTCCACATAGCATTACGTACTATCATATATTATGTCCAAGTATGTATACATACATGTAAAAAACAAACTTTGTTACAGAATATGTAGTGCAATTCCCTACTCTTAGCGTAATCCAGGACCAACGACATGGACGTGGTAGGGATCTGGTCCCGTGTGTGTGCGCGTGTGTGTGCATATTCTGTAACAAAGTTTGTTTTTTACATGTATATATACATACTTGGACATAATATATGATATAGTATAGTACGTAATGCTATGTGGAATATAATTATATGTAGCCCCATGGCTATAATCATATAAGGAACA